TCAGAATTAATCCATATTATTTAGAGTTTCCAATTTAGTGAAAAATATATTTTTAAAGTATGTCCACACGATTCTCAGAATTTTCTTAGTATCTGCTGTAATTTTTCTTAATTCTTTTAGTTTTTGTTTTTTATCTGTACTTTTATTAATTTGGATCCTCTCTTTTATCTTTTAGATAAAGATTTGTGAATTTCATTTATCTTTTCAGATAGCCAACTGTTTCATTGATTCATTTTATTGCTTTTATTATTTATCTTTCATCATTATTTCTTTTAGTCTACAACTTTGATGATTGGATTGCTCTTGATTTTATAGTGCTTTAAGGTTCATCATTGGGTTATTTATTTCCAACTTTTCTGACTTTTCATTGTATAGATACCTAGAACTATAAATTGTTCTCTCAGAACTTCCTTCACTTTATCATATAGATTTGGGTATACTTTTTTGTTTTCATTTAATACTAGGACATTTTAATTTCCTTCTTGATTTTTGCATTGTTCCATTCATCATTCAGTAGTTTATTGTTCTAATTCCATGAATTTGTATATTTTCTGTAGTTTCTCTTTCTGTTGATGTCTAGCTTTATTCTATCATAGTCAGATAGAATACAGAATTTTGTTCCAATTTTCCTGTACTTGTTGAGACTTATTTTGTGTCATAATATGTGATCTATTTCAGAGAAGGTTCCCTGGGCTGTTGAGAATGTGTATTCTTTGGTGTTTGAGTGGAATGTTCTGTAAGTATCTATTAGGTCCATTTGATCCATGACGCTATTTAATTCCATTCATTTTTATACAGTTATCTGTCTAATGGTAAGAGTAGGTTGATGAAATCATCCACTACTACTGTGCTGTAGAAATTCTATGGTATTAAATCTAATACTATTTTCTTTACAAAATTGGTTAAGCTTATATTTGGTGCTTATATATCAGAATTGTAATTTCCTCTTGATGGTTTGGAGCTTTTATCTATATGAACTAAGCCTGTGTAGTGGTTTGAATAAGAATGGTACCCATTGGCTCATGCATTTGAATTTTTAGTCATCTTGGAGTGGCACTTCTTGTGAAGGGTTTGAGGTGTGGCCTTGTTGGCTAGTTATGGTCTGTTGGAGGAAGTGTGTCACTGGGGTTGGCCTTGTTGGCTAGTTATGGTCTGTTGGAGGAAGTGTGTCACTGGGGTTGGGCTTTGAGATTTCAACAGTCCAAGCCATGCCCAGTGCCTCTCTCTTTTGTTGCCTGTGGATCTGGATGTAGAACTCCCAGCTCTTTCCCGGGTCATATCTGTCTGTGTGCCACCAGGCTCTCTACCACGATGATAATGGACTAAACCTCTGAAACAGTAAGTGTGCCTCAGTTAAATGCTTTCTTTTATAAGAGTTGGCATGGTCATGGTGTCCTTTCACAGGAATAGAACACTGTCTAAGACATCTTCTTTATCTCTTGAATTGAAACACTGAATTTTAGAGTTTTGATTGAAAGGCGTGTACTGTTCCCTGTCATTTTGTTAATTTTTTTCATGTTGGAGAATTCTTCATGCTTTTTTTGAATGAATGTTGCAGCATTAACTTTTCTTCTTATAATCTCTTTATTGTGCTTGTCTTTCTTTTCAGATTGAAGGGATTGGTTTGAAGTCTATTTTGAAGACATTGGAATAGGAACGCCTATCTGTTTCCTGCTTCTAATTGCTTTCAGTTCTTTGTTTGCATCCTTTCAGCCTAGGATAGTGTTATATTTAGTGATGTTTTGTTTCTTTTTCCTACTTTTTTTCAAGACAGGGTTTCTCTGTGTAACAGCCTTGACTGTTCTGGAACTCACTTTGTAGACCAGGCTGGCTTCAAACTCACAGAGATCTACCTACCTCTGCCTCCCAGATGCTGGGATTAAAGGCGTGCACCACTACCGCCTGGCCAATGTTTTGTTTCTTGAAGGCAGCAAAAAGAAAGATTCCATCTTCTAAATAGTCTGCTAGTCTGTATTTTTGATGCTTGAATTGAAACACTGAATTTTAGAGTTTCAATTGAAAGGCGTGTACTGTTCCCTGTCATTTTGTTAATTTTTTTCATGTTGGAGAATTCTTCATGCTTTTGTTGAATGAATGTTGCAGCATTAACTTTTCTTCTTATAATCTCTTTATTGTGCTTGTCTTTCTTTTCAGATTGAAGTATTCCTTCCAATATTCTATGTTTGGCTACTTCAGTGGTCAATAATTCCTTTAGCTTGCTTTTATCGTACAAAGTTTTCATTTCACCATAACTTATGGCAGAAATTTCCTGGGTAAATTAGAGTGGGTTTGCAATGATATCTTTCAAAGTTTCAGAGATATCAGTCCTTCTTGAGTTTGAAGTTGAAAGTCAGCAGTTATTCTGACTGGCCTGCCTTTGTATGTGACTAGGTTCTTCTCTTTTGCATTTTTCAATATACCTCCTTTGTTCTGTATATTTAGGTCTTTTTAATGATATGTAATAAGGTTTTTTTTGGGGGGGTCCTGCTTATTTATTATGTGTGCCTCTTGTATCTGGATAGGCTTCCTTTCCCTATATTTGAGAAAATACCTTCTACAATTTCATTAAAATATTTTTATATCATTTGAATGAAATACTTATTCTTGTATGTTTAGAGTATGTAGAGTTTGCCATAGTTCTTGCCATATTCTGTTTATACATTCAAAAAATTATCATCAATTTTGACTGAATCATCCAATGCTTCTCTTCTGTCTTCATGTCTTCAAGCATGATATAGTCAATAACATTCATTCAATCGGTGAGGATTTCCACTGAACTTTTTATTTGACCTATTTTATTTTTCACTTCCATCATTTTGGTTTTGTTTATTTCCAGTATTTTTTATTTCTTTATTAAATTCTATTTTGACACTATTGATTGAATTCCTCATTCCATTTTGCTGTCTGTGTTCTCTTGGATAATATTTGAGTCCTTTGTTAGCTTTTTCCCCATATTTAAAAGTCTTTTCCATTCTGCATCTGAACTTTTATGTAAGTCATTTTAACTGGGGGTCATTTGAATGAGGTTGGTAATTTTTGGAGACATCAAGTTGTCTTAAGTTTTCATGTTGCTTAGGTTTATGTTCTGGGATATGACTATCTGAGATTCGATTTTTGGTTATGACCTGTTATTTTAATTTAGGTTTCCTCTCTTCTTTCAGTAGACATGTTTACAAAAATAAAAAGATATTAAAGTTTAGCTGTGGTGCTGATTTTGACTGTGAGATTGGTGTTTACTGTTTCCAGCTTTATCTCTAGACTGCACCTGAGGGTTGAGTATTTCCTGGTGATAATAGAATAGAAAATGGCTTTAAAACAAATGCTTATTAAATAGCAATTAATTCAGGGAGTAGCCAATGATACTGTGTGTACTGATGTTAGTGTGGGTGGAAAAGAGAGGAAGGTGAGCAATCCTGATGAGACTAGTGATAAGTCAGATGTTAAATGGGAAGTAGAGGAGATGGGCTTACACAAGAGTGGGAATAATTGAATCAGTGGAAAAGTGGAAGGGTGTGGGAACCTTGGTTAATGGCAGACTAAAATGAGGAGGTAAATACCCAGATATTATAAAATAGGTCTGCCTTTGAGCTTTGGGAGATGTAAGAGTAACAGGAATGGGTATGAGAAAAGAGAAAGGGAGGAAAAAAGGAAGCGGGGGAGAGAGAGAGAGAGAGTAGTAAAAGCATTGGAAGGAGAGCAAAAGAGAGAGGAAGAAGCAGGGGACAGTGTTCTATACTACACTTTTCAGAGCATCAGTATGAATTTGACTGATGGATTTAAAAAATTTTTGAATGAATTTTTTTTAAGTCTACTTAGTCTGGGGGAGAAACTCATTCAGAATGTAATCCAAGTTTATAAGTTTCCAAGCCTTTTCTGTCCTTTCATGGCTTGTTGGTGGCAGATAGCAATGAGTTGCTCGCTCCACCTTAAAAATTACCAAGGTCTGATAATGGGGAGATGTTGATCACAGATGTCAATTATTGTTTATAGGAGGAATACCTGTGGGAACAGTAGTATGGAGATTTTAGTCAGCAATAGTATCAGATCATATATTTGGTATTTTTGTAATAGATGTAAAGTGTTCTCCACCTCCCAACATGGTAACTATTAGAGGTGATGGATGATTTAATTAACTTGTGGTAATCATCTTGTTATTAATCTGTACACTGTACATAGTTTTGTCAAACATATCTCAATAAGGCTGGGGGGACAAAAACACAAACCTCAACAAGCTGGGCTGTGAGCTACAACTTTTTCAGCATCAACTCTATTGCCAGTTCCTCACTAACTCCTAATTATGGGTGATTTGCAACATATTCCCCCCCCCCAATCTTATATATCCTTTCGACAGTGTAATTAATATCGTCATTGTTTGAAATACTAAATACATGGCTGGGGACCCTCATATTTCTTGCTCGCAGTACAACCATTTCACCTTTGCTATAGGAGACGCAGTCTGCTTCCTGCAAGCAAATTTTTGGTGGGAAATTCTCCCTGGAGGAGTGAACAGAAGCGATGTTTAGGCACCCAAGGATAGTTATTCTTATATTTATTTATTCTTTATAAGTACGTACACAGTGGGTGCGCTTATGGAAATTCCAATCTAGAATTGTGGCTGAAAGGATAAAGAAATTAAATACTATGGATGCAGCTCTGCAGCAGGGCCTTCTTATGAACACAGAATTCCTTGGCCCCGAGGACAGAAAATGCAAATGGAGAATGCCACATTAGCTTTCAAATCGTTCATAAAACTTTGTTGTTGTTCTGTTTAGTTGAATATTAAAAGCCCATAGAAAGTCAGTCGCATTATGTATGGAGGAAAGTTGGGAGTGGGGCAAATATTTGACTAGACCGTTGTTTTAGGGGTCTCTGAAGAATAGAATGAATACAGCTATTTAAAGGAAAATGAGAAAACAGGGAAGAGCGAGCACTAAAGACGTCACATTTGTTAAAATCTCGGCAAAAAAAAAAACAAAAGAAAAAAGAAAAAACAAAGTTACCTCAGGCCAAACCAGCTCCTCCTCACAGTGTAGGACCTCGTCGGTTCTCGGCAGCTCACGCACCTCCCTGCTGGTACCGCCCTCTGGACCCTCCTCCAACTTCTCTTCGGCCCCGCCCCTCTAGCCCTGCCACTCTTGCTGCTTTGGCCCCGCCCTCTCCCCCTGAGTGACGTACAAATGCGCGGTAGATCCCGCCCACTCTCATCTGTCGACCAATAAAACAGGGCTTCGTCATTTGCTACCGCCCGTTCGCTGGTGACGTCTGTCTCTCCCCGCCCTCTCTCCCGGCCGCCGCTGGGTTCTAGGAAGATGGCGAAGGTTACAGAGCGTTATGATGTGACTTGGGAAGGTAATTTCGGGCGGGGAGGATGCAAGAAGACCCAGGGCCCTGGGAAATGGTTCAGAAGTCCCCAGTTTCCCGGGAGAGATTCGTGCTCCGCTGTGTCCTCCGCAGGGCAGCTGTCCCTGAACGGGCCAAACCGAGTGGAGACTGAGGCGGGTTCCTTCGTGGGCCCCCGTTCTGCCTGTCATCTTCTGTTCAGGAGGCAAGCGGGACACGAGGCTGAGACTGTCACACTTCATGTGGTTTCTGGGAGGCGTGGTGGAGGCGGAATCGATGTGTTCAAGCTTGAAAGCCAAGAAATAAATAGGTCCAGTGAGGCCTGTGCTAATTATTTGGAAGGGTTGTAGTGTGTGGAAAAGGTGTGTGGAAGAGCCATAAACAATTACAATCCTTCCACATGCAGTTTCTGTTTCTTTCTTTTTTCAGAACTGGATCTCGAACCTACTCAAACCACACACAGCATAGCTTCCTACTTATTTTCTGCCAATAATGCCTTTTTTTCCCTGAAGGGAAATGTAACTGGTTAATTTGGGGGCATGTGTACATATGTCATGGTCTTTTCCTATCTGGTTTATCAAGAGTGGAGAATCTTTAAATAAAACATCCAAATCTTGGATCAGTTCTATATGGGCTGTTACCTCTCTCAAAAACGATGATGGGAGTCATGCTTAAGAGAATAAATGAGCCGGGCGGTGGTGGCGCACGCCTTTAATCCCAGCACTTGGGAGGCAGAGCCAGGCGGATCTCTGTGAGTTCGAGGCCAGCCTGGGCTACCAAGTGAGTCCCAGGAAAGGCGCAAAGCTACACAGAGAAACCCTGTCTCGAAAAACCAAAAAAAAAACAAAACAAAAAAAAAACAAAGAGAATAAATGAGTTTTATTAAAGCATGGAATTTTTTTTCATGGACAGTAAATGTTCCCAGCAGTTAGCACAGTGCAGTGTACTTCAGTAGCTAATTTGCCCATTGAATGCCTTCATGGAATATTTAGCATGTAGAGTGAAATTTACATTTATTGTTTGATCATGAATAAATATCAAATATTATAAGGGGCAAAAGTTTATTATATTGAGTTTTTGTATGTGTCAAGTAAGACACAGCCCCAATCCTCAAAGAGTTTACAGTTTAATGGAGCAACAAACCTATCTGTTTTTAAAAGGTTTGTGTCAGCATGTACGATTAGAGGTACCGTAGTTTTTTGAGTGGGTGTTTTTTCCCAATGCTTTTAAAAAGTTTTAAATATTTCATGATTTTTCTAAAGTAGTATTATGAAGGTTTGTGAAGTACAGCTTTTAAAAGCTGTTAGCGTGTGTACCACCAAAGGACCAGTAGGTTTGTCACTACCAGCAAACAGAATGATTGTAAGTACCTCAGTACTGTCCTGTGGGCATCCTAAAGTGTAGTGCTGTAACTAGATTTGGAATAGTTACTGCTGTACACATTTGTTGAGCAACAAACGAAGAAATTGTGTTAAAGTGATCGGTAAACTCAACAGGAGGAAAAAGGTTGTGCTGTTGGTTAATAGTATTAAGTCACACCACTGAAGGATCTGACTTTTGGTGGCATCTAGCCTGTTCCAACTCTGTGAGCTGACTCTGCTTGTCTTTACTAAGTTGCCTGATTTGCCATGCTCTTGTGTTAGGGGTAGGCACATGCAATTCCTCCCACTAAGTGTTTTCCCCTCACAGTCTCACCCCTCCTTTCTTTAGACTTTGATCTCTCAGAATTGTGTTCAGATGTTATATCCTGCAGGACCCTTACACATACAGCCTCTCACCACTGCCACCATATTTACACAAGAAAGAAAGAAAAAACTAGAAAATAAAAAAACCCAAGCAACAGAATCGAACACAACCTGCTCTTGGATCATGTGCTTTTTTACTATTAAAGGACTTACTAGTTTGTGTTACTTTAGGATTTTTTTTTCTCTAATTAGAATATGAGGAACTAGGCCTACTCTGTTCACTGTTATGTAACTAGTGCTTGATACATGGGAGGAACTTGATTCATTGATTGAACTGTTGAGTGTGTTCATAATCAACACTAATAAGTTGTCTGCAATTTTTCTAGCTTTCTGGCCCTTTATTATCTTAGGGGAACTTAGTCATCCCAGTGGCTAGAACACAGTTTCCTTATTTTTTAAAGTGAAGGCTTAAATTTCCTGAGAACCTCTATTTTATGAAGGTTTTAAGAAGAAAACTATTCTAGACTCTTATTTCAGAGACTTGTGAGAAAGATTTTTGAGATGTAGGTGGTAGATAGGGACTCTCAGAGATGGTGTTTTGTTTAGATACGGTGGACAGTGTTGACTGTATCCTTAGGAATTCCATTAACATCATAAACTGGTCCAAAGAGCACTGTAGAGTTTGTGTGCATGTGCATGTGTGTGTTCTGTGTTATACATGAGAGTGTGGGTGTACGTAGACATAGAGATGCCAGAAGAGGAAATTATGTGTCTTGATGTATCTATCACTCTCTACCTTATTCATTTGAAACAGGGTCTCTCACTGAACCTAAAGCTCTGCTAGTGACAGCAAGTCCTGGTGATCTTTCTCTTTGCTCTTCCCAGTGGTGGGATTACAGCCAACCAGGGCTTTTTATGTGGTGTGAACAAAACGACTCAGGTTCTTGTGCTTGCAAAGGGAAGGCTCTTACCTAGCAAGAACTCCTAGTCACTGAACATCTTCCCAGTCCCTGTAATTTGTGTAATAGGAAAATTTATCACCTGTGTATAAAAGATTATAGTAAGTCTTAACAGTCTGCTAAGTCTCAAATAGATGCTATAAAAGAATAGAATGGAAGTTGATTTTGTGAGCCAATTGAAAGTATTTGATAGGTAGAATATTATTTAAAAATTGGAAGTAAGAAAGAGAATTTAGAGTTCTAAGGAGAGTACTCTAGTGTCTTGAAGTTGTATTTTTATGCAGGGCTAGATAGGATGCCTTGTGCAGTGCCTAGCATATAGTAGATATGAAATGAGTTTTTAAAAATAAAGTGAAATTTTTGTTACTATTCTTCCTTCCCACTTCCTGTTTTTTTTCTTCATTTCATTAAGAAACCACAGTTTTGAGATTTTATAGATGTGACTTCCCTGCCATGCCATATCTAGAAGACAAGTCTCACAGTTGATTTCCTGACCTCTGACTCTCAGTCTTTTTGCTCCCTTTTCTGGGATGTAGGTGAGCCTTAGTTGTAAGGACTGCTTTGTAGATGTGTTAACTGGTGTTACAGTTTGGTTTCTGTGCCTTATTTTCCTTTAAGGTGCTAGGAAGACCTTGTACCAGTTCAAGTGTTTATATGTTATACATCTGTGTTATGCTTGCTATTATAGATCAGTCCCTCTATACAAGATTTTGATTTCTTTTAATCTTTTTGTATGTATGTATATGTGTGATATTGGTGTGCATGTAAATGCCATAAGTTTCTGCCAGGTGTTTTGTCTATTAATTTCTACCCAATTTTTCAAGACAGTTTCTCTCACTACACCTTGAAGTCACAGATTGGCTGGACTGATTGGCCAATGGACCTCCAGTATCCCCCTGTCTCTATGTCTCATTACTGAGACTAAGGGAGGGTGTTGCAATGTCTAGCTTTTCCAAGGGTTCTAGGGATCGGAACTAAGGTCTTTATTCTTCTGTAACAAGCACTCTACTAGCTGAGTCATCTCTGTCCCAGCCCCTTGCCCTTGTTTCTTAGTAGCTTTCTTCTAGGGTTCACCTTACACTTTTTATACTGCTCTTTTGATGGGTCCTCTATGACCATTTGCTTTCAAATGGTAGAACACACCTGATTGATTTCACATCTCACTAGTCATTGCAGTACATAATTGGAAGAACACTTCTACTGAAGTTTAAATACATTAAATAAATTCTTTTTTTTTCCCTTTAAATTTAGTACCCACCCAGTCCCTCAAGTCCCCTGGCAATGGCAATTTTCGTTATCCTGTAACTGACTTTATGATGCAAATTTGTGGGACAGAATAATTTATAAAAGGTATATTCATATAAATGAACCTGTAAGGGTATTTCATAATTCATACTGAAGTGGAGGAAATGCAGGGTTGGAAGAAGTTTTGTACAAAAGAAGCAAGAGGAGGAAGCGGGCTGTTTCCTCATTTTTCAAGGTCCAGGTGTCTTAGCACAATGAGTCCTTAGGGAGAGATGAACAGGCTAGCCCCTTTATAACCTCTCATATTGATATTACCCCCAGTGCATAGACAGGAGTTAATAGCATGTACAGGAAAGGGGTGAGTAGTTTACATATATAGAATAGAATAAAATGACTTTGGCTTTGAGGAACATGCCATCTTTGGGGGACTGCCTAAAATGAAAAGTATAATCAAGGAAGGATTACTCCCAAAACTTTATTTCTAGACAAAAGTTTTCCCTATTTTACTTACAGTAAACGTAACTAAACATTTTGTAGAATTTTACATTGAGTAGAATGTTTTATGTAAATTACTTAATATTAGGAGCCCTGTACTTGGACCACATAAACGGGGGGCAACGTATATATGAAGTTGGATGAAAGACTGTAGTGATGCCTCTGAGGAATTCATGAGTGCATGACCTCTTAACAGTAATCAAAATCAGCTTAAAAGCAAAGCAAGAGCCCCAAACCGTAGCACTGTCCATATATGTGGTCTCTCAGTTTTGCTTTATTTAAGTTGGATGAGAGACCTACAAAACTTGTAATCCTGTGTATTTAATAACC